CCAAATAGTTATAATCCAGGCCTCTACTTTGTTCCAAAATGCTTACTTAAAGGAAGAAAAAAGTCTGATTCAACAAATAGCCAGTTCAACAAACTTTTTTTCAATTCCTTCCTTTTGTAGCTAGAAGAGAAAAATTAAATGATATACAGAAAACAAACCAACAAACTTTTATCAGAATCAAGTTTCATTAATTGAAGTTAGTAGAACTGAACTGCCCAATAGTCAGCATAGGCACTGTGTCCTTATTTTTATCTTCAGTGCCTAAACAATGTCTAGCACCCACCAGATAGTCAATAAGTATGTACTAAATAATGAGTGGATGAATGAACAAATGTTATGAGAAAAGGGAAAGCACAAAATGCTGGAGGTTATTCAACAAAAGCAAATTTTTTCAAAATCTTCACCACCACCACCAACAACAACCCCCTCCCCTAAAGCCACCTGAAAGGAATCCAAACTGGGAGTTGGGAAAGGAACAACTCCTTAGGGCATATTAGTTGCGTAGAATGATGTCAGCATTATGATAATGACATATGTCATCAGTATGATATAATTACTAATAGTAGCAGGGGTTCCACAACCACCTGGCTTGGTTATGTTATTACTGCCAGATTTTTTTCTATACTTATTGACTTTGATTTGGCATAATGGTGATACAACATTTAGAGCATGCTGGGGGTACCTCAAACCCCTCCCTCCTGAGAAAGCCAACACTGGCATCCATGGGCTTCTGTTTGCATCTGCTACTAAGGGAAGCTATAGTTGATGTCTAATGCAGAGAGAGAGGCTGTATCAAATCTGTTCTGCACATAGATGAGTATTATCAGTTAGGGTCCTAGCAAAAAGAAGCACACTACCTGATATATTCAAGAGAATGTAATGAAGGGAGCATTTTCAAAGGTGTAAGCAGGATTTGGGGAAAGCAGCAAAGGACAATGCTATGTATCTTCAGATGGCAACACCAGAAAGTCATTATCATCTCTAGGTCTGAAGAGGCAAAAGAAGGGTTACCAGAACCCATAAAGATCTCTGTAGCTGACTGGAAGAAAGGGCCACTGAATAGGAATGTGACCTATTCAGAACATCCAAAATCCAGCAGGAATGAAGTGGCTCTTCCAGGCCTCCTGCTGATATCCCTCACATTGGCCAAAGCCAACTAGAAACCAAGACAAGGGCTCAATTGACATAGCCCATGTAAGTTCTTCCCAGAGCACAGAGCAGAGTGGAGAAAAGAGCTGGCAGGGCAAAAGGAGAACAGGTAACACAGAAAGGTATTCCAAATGATCACCACCCAGCAAAACACAGATATATAGCTTTTGCCAGTTCCACCTAAATCTTGTAGACAACATGCAACTGCCTGCAAATAAGTCATAAGTATAGGTACTTACTTAGGTTCCTAATGCCCTAGGTCAAGTTTGAAAAAAAAAAAGAAAGAAAGAAAGAAAGTCTACAAGTAATTCTAGGCATCTTCTGACATTCTGCATCTCTAAAAGTAAACAGATAAGCCATCTCTATAAATGGAATACACCTAAGATAAGACCCTTCTCTGCTCCTCTGCTCAAAAGGTACCTATTCCATCCTTCATTATTAAACTTATCATGACATATTATAACCTCTTATTTGTCCAGAGACTGTCTATTCATCTTTGTATCACTAGTATCTAACAAAGTACAAAGTTGGCCTTTCAATGCGCACTGAATCAATTAAAGGACTCAGGGTCAATTAACTGGCTGCCTAATGGCATGGTGGCTAAAATATGGAATGACCTTTAGCAATTAACTATCAAGTTATATTCTGTACATGCCTTAATAAACTGGGCTATACAGTATCAGCCCACCATCATTGTCTGCAGACCAACTTTTCTCATGTGCTCAATGTATATGGCCTTTATTATCAATCATCAAAAGAACTAGGGAAAGATGGCAAGATTATGATTCATTTCAGAAAGGAGTCAAATATACTTAACCTTTCAAAATGCTCATTCTTTTTCCAAGGGCTTACCAGATTTCCTGAAGGAGCTAACAATTCAGATAGAGCATTCATGTTTCACACTGATAATAAAGATGATTTAGGGACAACACACACACACACACACACACACACACACACACACACCACACCAAGAGAGGCAGGCATATTTATTGATCACATCAACAGGCATCATCCTTGGTAAAATTAGAAGCACTTATGTAAGAAAATCACATAATATCATTAAAATGGATATACTGTACAATGTTCAGGTGGTCATTAACAGAATCTGGAACATATGCACATTATAATTATGAATCATTTGCACATAACCCTGTACTTATGAAGTGCTTAATCATCTTTTTGTTGGTAGTCAACTTCTACCTATGAATGCCTCACAGAAAAAGGAAAAAGTTAATAACCCTTTTCAAGCTGCCATGATTTTAGGCAGCCAACCTCCTGCTGTCAGTGAGGTGAATAAAAACCAAATTTAATATGATACTTAGACTCTACTAGAAAGGATAAGTTTGCTATAAATATGTCTTCCAAAAGTTGGCATGACAAACTTTTCAATCTTCTGGACCACTGCTTTTACTCACTGTTATAATGGAGAGTTGATGTTAACTCTAATGTCATCTTACCTATCTAATTAAGTCAGTACAAAAAAAAAAATCACTTTCTATTTAGGAAAAGGGAAGTCTGACCTTATCTTTACAATACACTTAATATACTTCAAAAGAAATTTCAGTAATATGAAAACAGATAAATATGTTTCAAATACATGAAGTATTTTAAACTAAATGCATAAGTTCCAAAGAAAGCTTTTTCCAAAATCACCAAAACATTTCAAATGTCTTTTTCAAAGTCATCATAGTTACTTTACTGCCAGGTCAATGTAGCACTAAAATTAACCTCTAATAGGACAATTATGTGATGTATACATCATATTAAAAATATAGGCCAGATGTGGTGGCACACGCCTGTAATCTCAGTGGCTCAGGAAGCTGAGATATGAGGATCTCAAGTTCAATGCCAGCCTCAGCAATGGTGAGGCGCTTAGCAACTAGGTGAAACCCTATCTCTAAATAAAATACAAAAAATAGGACTGTGGGGTGTGGCTCAGTGGTTGAGTGGCCCTGAGTTCAATCCCTGTTACCCCCCAAAAAATTATATATATATTTTATATATATATATATATAATATATATGCCATAAGAACTTGAAATTTATAAAGTTATACTGCTTATAGGTTCCCCCACTCTACATAATTTTTTAATGCAGATCTACCATATGGCTTTGTGTTTAATAACTTTAGTTTCATCTATCTAAGAGCAGTATGTTTCATCCCTACTCATCAGTGTTAGGTCCACAGGGAGAAAAAAAAATCATGCTTTATAAATTAATAACTCCAAGTAGGCAGGAAAGGGTACAGTTGATACATAAAAATTACACAATATATAGCAATGAAGGATGTTATCCAATAGACTGAGATTACCAAAATTCCTGACTGAACATTTTCCTCTTCCTTCACTAAATATAAATGAAGTTTAACCAAGTTCCACTGATGCAGAATACATCACAGTATATTTTCAATGTAGCATCTTTAGCAAAGGTAAAGTTTTCATTACAAATGAATAAATCTGAATATATTTTAATTACTATGCCCTGACATCTGAAAGGACTATTTCTATAAAGACTGTTCCAAAACTGTATTCCCCTCTCCTAAGCTTAATTCCTAAAATTCACCATGGAGCTATAAAGTAGGTGTCCTGGTAACAACAACAACAAAAAATATATATATAGAGAGAGAGAGATAGATAGATAGATATAGATATATAGATATCAAAAAGAAATTTTGTCTATAAAAACAATCTTGTCAAATTTAAACGGATTAGACAATATTGAAAGCACCTAAAAGGTCAAGTTTGAAGCAAGAGAGTAGAATACTCAGAAACTATTGGATTAAAATCAGGTGAATTTCCTTTCTCTGAAAAGCCATTATTCAGATTTGCATCTAGGATGCTAAAAAAAACAGACATCTCAGATCCTGGGAATTTGCCAGTAGTACTACTTAGATTACTTAAACACGAGTCGGACTACCCAAAGCTCCAGCAGATCTTGTTGTTTTCCATAACACACATAATTCACAACATAGCTGCCTTCCATAATATATATTTTAAAAGGTGAAACCAACTCCTTCCAACGCCTAACCCTTATCCAGATGATTCCAATTCGTCCTCAACAGGAAGAAGCACCTGACAATCAGAAACCCAGAATAGAAGTTGTCCAATCAGGAAAACTTCGCCAAATGTGCTGCAGCTTAAGAATGTCTAGTGCTTCTTGTGGGCTGTCATAGGAAATGGAAGCTATACCATGGCAAGGTTTGCGTAGAAAAAGAAACAGCAGGTCTGAGATACATTCCCCTAAAAGCAAGCCTCTTCAGAACTATAGGCAGAAACTTGGCATCCTCATCCCCATATGCAACCTGACAATTTACAACCTGGCAACACCTTCTAATTAGAAACGTTCTAGCCTTTTATAGCCAAAAAATTAAACTGCTTCCCACAAGTAAAATAAGCCAGGCACTGGCGCCTGCTACTGAGAAGCCCTAGTGCATCAAATCTCCAGTTTCGCTACAGAACCTGAGGAGCCAGCGACCAGGTTTCTCTGAGTTGAGAGGGAGGAGCCCACCCTGCCTTGCTAGAGTGGACTGGAAAACAGAGGACAGCAGCAAGGCACCGAGCGCAGAGGCGTGAACAGCGTCCCAGCAGAGGCCGGCTCAGCATACCCGCGGGCGACAGACAGGAGGTCACGCGGGGGCCAGGGTGCAGGTTGCAAAGCGGGGTCCCGGGCTGCAGAAGCCGCCCCCGCGTCTCGCCCCGCTGCAGCGCGCGCGTCAGGCACACCCCCCAGCCTCGCCAGTCCTCGGCACTGCAGCAGTCAGTCCTCTTCCAAAAGACCCGGGCCCACACCCTGGCGCACCCCACCGCGGGCCCGCGCGCACACGCCCCTCGGCCCGGAGCGCGTACGTACCCAGCAACACGCACAACACATCGAGGGCCACGTASGGCAGCCGCGTCTTGTCAAACATGGTCTCGGCCCGGACCCCCCGGCACAGGCGGCGGACCAAGCTGCGGGCGGACGGCCGAGGCACCGGATTCTCGAGCCCGGCCTCGGGACTGACCACAGCCCCTCCCGGTCGGAGGAGAACAGCGGAGGGCAGACTGGAGCCCGGCGGAGCTCCGGTCACTAGCAATGGCGCCGGGGACCCCTCCCCTCGCGGCTCCCGCAAACACTCGTTCGGGTCCGAGGCACTCGCGTGCCAGCCGCGGCAGCCCTGTCGCCCGAGGCCCTGTTCGGTCGGCCCCGGCCTGCCCCCACGGCTCGCAGTGCGGATCCCGGCGCCCTCTCCAACAGGCGGGGCGTGGGGACTCGTGCTTTAAGGATGAGGACCGGTAGGGAGGGAGGAACGCAGGCTGGGGCCCCACCCGCCGGGCAGCGCCGGACCATCCAGCGCGCGGCCTCGCAGGCTGTGGGAGCGCGGCAGGGCGGGGCCGGGGAAACCCCGGCCGGGGCGGGCAGCCAATCAGCGCGCCGGCCCCGCCCTGCCGACCTGCGGGGGCCGCCCTGAGGTCGAGTCCCGGCTGGCGGGGCCAGGCGTGAATGCCGCAGGGTCTGGAGCCTGTGCTCCCCTGCGCATTCTGCTGGTGATCTAGGCAGTTCTGCTTTCAATGGAGAACTAGGCCTCCGGTCCACGATCCCAGAGCCTCGGCTGCCTGCCACCCCTCTGTTCTACTTTGGAAATGGGTAATGAAGAGGTCTGAGTCGAGGGTGACAAAGATTCTCCGTGACCGAATTTTAGTTAGGCTTCTCTGAGTCTTCTGTCTACTGGGCTGTACGATGGCCTTCCTTTCTGTCCTAGCAGAATACTGCTAAGTCATCCTCTCATCCTGACACCTGATCACTCTTGGTATTTTGACACTTGATATCTGAGGATATTTCTTTTATTCCCCCGCCTGTGATGTATTAATTCTTGGCCTGCCTTTGTTAAGAATCCCCCTGCCTTTGATGTTCTTCTCCTCCTAGTAATTTTCCATCCACTTTTTCTCCGCTATAAGTCTCCAGCTGTCTTTGCTGTTTTCTGAGTTTAGCTCAGTTCCCCCCCCCCTCCCCCATATCAGTTAGAACTGCTATTACAATGGACTTTAATGAATACTTCATCAAGGGGCCTGGGAATGTGGCTCAGTGGTGGAGTAAGCTTTCCTAGCATGTGCCAAGCCTAGTTTCATCTCCAAGAGCGTCAAAACAATTTTAAAATTATGTGTTAATAAGTATCCAAATATTTTTAATATTTAATAACAGCAATCTCCCTGCCACATTCCCAGGAGGACTATAGAGCATATTTTATTTATTTATTTATTTATTTTTATTATTAGTTGTTCAAAACATTACAAAGCTCTTGACATATCATATTTCATACCATAGAGCATATTTTAAATCTCAGTTGCCTAATCAATAAAAAGGGGATGTTAATAATCCCTGCTCTGTGTTCTAGTCAAAGAGAGAGAGTGAAGCCCAGAAAAGATAATATGAAAGTTGCTTTATAAAAATTAAACTGATACAGATGTTAACAATTGGTATCTTTCTTTATTTATAATTTACCCTCTTTTACAAAGATATAAAGCACAAAATGTGCCTACTTGTGAGGATGGCCTCAGGCCTGAACCTAAGTAACTCCATTTTAAAAATTCCAGTTTGAAACCTGCAGTCTCATCAGGTACACCCACAGAGCCCTCCGGTATGGCCTCAGATATGTTACTTACCCTCACCCTGATAAACAGAGGGAAGCCCCTGGCAGGCTGTCCTTGCCTGATGAGAGGGAAAAGCAAGAAGATCAGAGTGGATACCACCAGACCAGATGTTTCTGACCCCATGGTAAATGATGTCATGGAGAAATCCAGTGGTAGCTGATAAGGATTGAAAGGGGGGGATCAAAAGCCCCAAAATTTAGTATGAATAATAGAGCTAGTGAACAGGGTTTCAGGCAGCCGAAACAAGGATACACTTGAGCTGGAGAACCTGATGAGGACCTGACATCCCATCACTTGTCATCGTTTCCTGATCCTCTGTGTGATCCTAACAGCTCCAAACTTTACTGCCTCATCTGGACCCTGGTGAGAGCCACAACTTCTCCCTACGACTCTCTCCTCAACAGGCTGACCACTCCATGCCAGGAAGAGCCTGCCTTGGTTCCAAACCTGGTCACCGCGGTCTAAGTGAGTGTACATCTGGTGGACCTAAAGCCTAAGGCTTAAGACTTTTGAACTTAGTGTGCAGAGGGAATGTCTGTCATTAGCCTATCATGATTAAGTGTGTTTTGCAGTGCTTAGAGTTAATCTAGAATTATTTGCTGTGAATTAATTAATCTAGAATTGTCTATTGCAGTGCCTAGCATTAAGGATTGTTGTTTTCTTGATTAAGAACCTATAGAGTGACTAAGATTTCATCTCACTGCAGTCAGAATGGCAGCTATTATGCATACAAACAACAATAAGTGTTGGCAAGAATGTGGGGAAACGGTACACTCATACACTGCTGGTGGGACTGCAGATTGGTGCAGCCAATATGGAAAGCAGTATGGAGATTTCTTAGAAAATTGGGAATGGAATCACCACTTGACCCAGCAATCCCTCTCCTCACTCTATACCCAAAGGACTTAAAATCAGCATACTACAGGGACACAGCCACATCAATGTTTATAGAAGCACAATTCACAATAGCTAAACTGTGGAACCAACCTAGATGCCCTTCTGTAGATGAGTGGAGCCGAATGTTTTCTTTGACATAAGGAAGCTGATTCATAGTGGGATAGGGAGGGGGAGCATGGGAGGAATAAACAAACTCTAGATAGGGCAGAGGGGTGGGAGGGGAAGGGAGGGGGCATGGGTTAATTAATAATGGTTGAATGTGATAATCATTATTATCCAAAGTACATGTATGAGGACACGAATTGGCATGATTATACTATGAATACAACCAGAGATATGAAAAATTGAGCTCTATATATGTAATAAGAGTTGTAATGCATTCTGCTGTTACATATAAATAATTTTTAAAAAGTAGTGAGGTACTGTTTGGGGTACAAAACTGAAAAAAAAAAAGAAGCTATCGAGTGAAATTGTATTGAGTAATTTAAGTCAATAAAGCATTGAAAGGGGCAGAAGTGCGTGGACATTCTTTATTTCTCCCCTCGACTGCATACGTCGCAATTTTGCCCCCTTTCCACAGTACTACTCAGACTTTTCCTGCAAAGCACTCCTACTATCAATGGAAAAATAACACTAAACTCAGAAAGTCTGAAAATAAAGCTCCAAATGACCCTGAGAAGCAAAATATAAATTTGAAGAAGTATACTTTTCTTTAAAAGGAATGTAGATTTTTTTATTTCACCTTTTGTTTGAATAACTTCCAAAAGCTTCAAACAATTTATACTTGAGAAAGGTGTGCCATTATTTATTCTGTGGCTTCCCTTGCTTACAGAGCAAGGTCACAGTAAATTGAAAGTACTTTTGATAGATTCTAAGTATTCATTATTCAAAAAAAAAAATACTTATTGAGTTGGGCCTGGTGGAACATGCTTTTAATCTCAGCAACTCTATAGGCTGAGACAGGATGATCTGAAGTTCAAAGCCAGCCTCAGCAACTTAATGAGGCCCTGTCTTGAAATAAAAATAGAAAGGGCCGTGGATGTACTCAGTGGTAAAGTGCCCTTGGGTTAAATCCCCAGTACAAGAAGAAGGAGAAGGAGAAAGGAGAAAGGAAAGGAGAAGGAGAAATATATTTATTGAGCACCAACTGTATGTCAGGTACACAGTCTAGGCTGTGTTTTATTTAAACAGGTTTTGAAATAAACATTTACTTTTAAAGTTCTTTTTCAAAAGTTTTTCAAAAATCGTATTTTGTTCATTATTCTTTCAGCTTTTTTTTTTTTTTTTTTTTTTTTTTNTTTTTTGGTATGGGGGATTTAACCAAGGGGTGCTTTACCACACAGCTACATCCCCACATCCCCAACCCTTGTTTTTTTTTAGACAAGGCCTTGCTAAATTTCTGAGGCTGGCCTCAAACTCTCAATTCTGTCTCAGCCTCTTGAGTTGCTGGGATTACAGGCATGCACCACCACACCTGGCCTCAACATTTATTTTTTAAAACAGCTTTATTAAAAGAGATAATTCATATAGCATATACTCACCCATTTGAAATATAGACTCCAATGCTTTTTAGTATGTTCATAGTTGTACAATCATCTCCACAACTTTAGTACATTTTCATCACCCAAGAAACTCCATAACCATTTGTAGTTATTCCCAATTTATCTCCCAAGTTTCAGGCAATCACTTATTTGCTTTCTGTCTCTATATATTTGCCTATCCTGAACTCCTCCCCCCACTCCTATCTAACTGTAAATATATGTCCTTTGATGAGCATCTCCCATACCCCAACCATCTAAGCCTCTGGTAAACAGTATTCTATCTCTGTCCTTCTATGAACATTTTTATAAATATTTTTTGTTGTAAATGGATCTTTTACATATATATATATATATATATATATATATATATATATATATATATATTGCTGAGGATTGAACCCACATGCCAGGCAAGTGCTCTACCACTGAGCCACATCTCCAGCCCCTATGATCACCTTTTTTTTAGTTTACATATAAGTGAGATCATGCAGCATTTGTCTTTCTGTGCCTGGCTTATTTCACTTAATATAATATTCTTCAGGTTCATCCATGTTGTCACGGATGATTTGATTTCATTTTTTTAGAGCTGAATAGTATTCTATTGTGAATATGTACCATATTTTCTTTATCCATTTACCCACTGATGGACACCTAGGTTGACTTTGAGTTCATGTCTTGACTATTGTGAATAGTGTTACAATAAATGTGGAAATATAGATATCACCTCTATATGCTGATTTCACTTCTTTTGGCCATAGACCCAGTAGTGGGATTACTGGATCTTATGGTTGTTGTGTTTTTAGCTTTTTGAGAAATCTCCATAACTGTTTCCCATAATAGCTATACTAATTTACACTCTCACTGACAGTGTATAAGAGTTCCTTTTTCTCTACATTCTTGCCAACAAGAATCTTTTGTCTTTTTGATACTAACTGTTCTTACAGGTATGAAGTGATTTGCATTTTCCCTGAGATCGGAGAGTTATGCAACATTTATCCAGCCACCCCGTATTATATATACCAGACCCAGAATACATCTGTGGAGAAGCCAAAATGAGCAAGAGAAAGTTCACTTTCCTCAAGGAGGACAATTCAAAAACCTGGCATATAACTAACTGAATATAATATTGTGACCGTGTGTTGGTGTACAGCAGACACAGAGGAAAGAGTGGGAACTTTAGAAAGATGCCATAGGAAGGTGATATTTCCATTATTTTTTAGTATTTTTGAGCCAATAAAGCATTGAAA